GTTTTGTCCCTTTAGTCTCGACTAGCTTTTGGGTTTGGGACCTTATTTTCTTCCAAACTGCCATCTTTTGCCTCTCAAAGAATTTTCTTTTCACATTTTCTCAATTTTTTGGCTCCCTAATGCAAGAACTGAAACAATCATGTCTTGAAGACTATTATAGTAGTGTACAGCCCGTGTAAGACTCGGATGCCCGAGTTGGTTAAACGGTGTGTACGGATTTAGCACTTCGGTGCAAAAGATTGCGGGTTAGAATCACGCGCAGGGATTTTAAGTTGATGAATGTATCGTTGCATAAAACTCTTGATAATTCGAGAAACCTTATTGAGAATAATTTGAAGCACTTCTACTCACAAAAATCAACACAGGAAGTGACTTATGCGATTACCGAATTTGCGGCTTTTCAACTCTCTTATTCGATTTCCCAAACGTATCTCATGTCAAATCAATTGTGGTCTGTCTATTAATCTGTATGAACCGATTTAACTAAATACTACTTAATCTACCGACATGAAATTTAAATATATTGTAGACACTGCCCTTGGGGCCGATTTGGTTTTTCTTTTACCGGTTCCGAATATTATTACTTCTTATTCTTACGAACTTTGTTACCATAAGGCAATTCTGTGGCGTAGTGGTGTGGGTGTCGGCAAGTTAACTCTTAGGATCTGAGTACGGGTCTGCAAGCAGAAATTTCCTAAGTTCATCTAATAGTCTAATATAGGGGAGCAGTTAGAAATAATGCGAGAGAGATGTACTTCTGTATCACCACTAGTTATTTCAAATGCTTTGTCTTCTAGTCTTAGAACATAGTAAACACTGCACAATGTGTGTGAAATAAGAAGTTTCTTTTATTATTTGCCAATAATCGAAAGATCAGAAGTCACTCCTACGAATATGTTGTAAAGAATACAGACATTAAACTTTGAAAGATAAATAGAATTTACAATAACAAGAGACGAAATATGTATAAAAAGTAAGCATTTTCTACAATACTATCTTTGCCTTTTTAAAATGTTCTTAAAAATGTTATGTAAAGGGGCTCGTAGGGCAAATACGAAATTGCCAACAATTTAACTTAAAACATGTAGTAAGAAGGACAAATCAATAAATCTTTAATTCTTTACATCAAATGCTAGAAATGCAACATAATAATAATAATAATAATAATAATAATAATAATAAAAATTAATAATAATATAAGTATAATATGACAATAGTAAATAGTCTAAAATTAATATGGCTTGAAGAAAAGAGCGAAATTATTTTTCACATGCATTCGCAACCACCAGAAAAACTGATCGATTCATTTTTGAAAATATGGCAGAAGAATATGTCAACTTGAAACGTCTAAATTAAAAAAAAAAGACATGGAATGCACAAATCTTGGGCTAGAACTTAACTGAAACATCTTTGCGGAACACTTAATTCTTTGACAGAATGTAATTGTGTTAGCATGAAAGCTAATTACGAAGATAAAATTATATTAGAAACCTAATTGAGAAAGAAAGGAAGACCTTTGATTATTTAATCCACTTTACTAATGGCTTCTATTTTTGTTTTTCGTGTTTTTAAAGATATAATGATATAAATAAGCATCTTTAGTATCGATCCATTTCTTTTCTTCGAACGTTTCTAGGAATGATTCTCGTATCTCTCAGTATCTTTCAATACAATGTGCAGGAGTCAAAGCGCATTTTTGAGTGTATTTAAAAGAAAATCTAAGGAAAATTGTTCACTTGTTCACGTGACTTCACAAATATTGACGATTCCACGTCGTCGAGAAGTACCTTTCAGATTTAAAAGCCCGCTAAACCACTCGAATTGTCCCTACCCCCTTTTCGCACGGCTTGTTCGCGCGAAAAAAAAACTGCTCCTGGAGGTATTCACTTCAGGCCACTCTAATCAGATTTATGTTTGGCCGTTGGCAACAGCCTTAAGAAGACACCTAGTTTGTTTTGTTAACGGCGTGTTTCCCATGTGCATTTTTGAGTTTGGTGAATTTCTGTAGTGAGCTGTTTGGGAGATGATTTGAAATGTTTTATCGCGGGAGATGGCGGTGATCTTTCCTCTATCAATGGCGAGATTCGGTGCCGACTTACGCCGGGTTGCGGGAATTTTCCCCAAGTTTTTTCCACCAGCGGGGCACCGGGACATACAGATGTGGGGGTCCCTACAATCAACCTCTTCAGTTAATCAATTTGCTAAGCAGTTCGGAACAATAAACGACCTTTTTGTGAGAATACAGAAGAATAAGTCTTTTAAATTTGAGTAGCTCGTGTAACCAGGATGAGGTTAAATTAATTGCCTCATCTCCCCCTAGTGCTTCACGAATGAAGATTCATTCAGCGGGTCCTGCATGTTCTGTGCGTGAGAATGAAAGAAGGAATCAAAGAAGCAGTACTTGAAAATTATTCTTTAACTCTTGTGACTCTTGTGATGGTACAGGGATGAATTCTGAGCACAAAACCAATAAAATTCCAGCGTGTGTTAAGTTTAGAGTTCAGTGTAATTTATAATGACAAAGTTGACACATTTCAGTTGGTCTTCAAGAGTTCAGCTAGGGATTAGGAATGCTCTTTGAGAAAAGAAAGCAGAACCCAGAGAAAGAAGAAAAATGGATAATAACACAAAGCATTTTGCTGTAAATACTATGACAGGACACGGTGTGACATGAAGAATTGACTATCGTTTCTGTCAATCTGTGAAGAAATATGAAGTTCTTTATGTGAAATATGTGGGAAATGGAACTTTTGTATATAACTTACAATTAATAAATTGGAATTCATTGAGCACGGACAGAAGAAATTGGCAGAGCACTAGGCAGATAGTACCAGATTTCAAGGGGAAATAGAAAACTGTAAAATAAAAAATGAAAAAAGACGGATAAAAAATATGACTGAACTCCAGCCTTATCATGGATTAGGTCTTTTAATTTAGAAAATAATATTAATGTGTTAGAAATATTAAGGGAAAATGGAATGATTTTGCGGTCAAAAAATGTTGTATTTTTTTGTTATTTTATTTTTCATAAATCTACATAATTTTCTCTTTAATTTGGCGTTTGAAATATGTTGATATTATTTTTACTAGTTTTTTTATTATTTATAAGTGAATTCTTTCTTTCGTTGGGCTTAGGCTCCAATACTTTTAGATATTGTTGCATAATGCTGCGCAGAAATACTGAAAGACATGCAGAAATTAAATTGACAACTTTATGTTGTGAAGCGAACCAACATTTAAAAAAATTAGAGAAACAAAGAAAGTAGTTATTGCAAAATAATTATTCTGTTGAGGCAAGTTGTGGAGCTCTGAGGGTCGTATCTTTAAAGCTCATTTCCCGAAAGTTGTTATTTTTTATACTAAATTGACCTTTTCTCAGCTTACATTTGTAGTAGGAAACTGAAATTTTCAGTTGTTAATAAATGTCTCCTATATTTACTGAAACTTTTTTTTCTTATTACCTTAGCATTATCCATTCTACGGAAGTTTATTTACTAGAAAACGTGGCAAAAATATATTATGAGAAAATATCTGTATCTAGAAAAATAGAAAATATTTTTAAAAGTATTGTTTCAGTGATATTATGAGAGACATATGTTCAACCTGCAAACATTACATAAGCCTAACTTCAATATATTCTGAGATTTAGATTAAATGATTTAACACTGCCAGGATAGGGCATTCCATTCCTTCTGGCTATTTTTACCGCTGACACTAGCAATTGATAAATTAAAGTACTACGTAAAATATTGTAAAAAAAAGCATCCGAATTTGTCGTTTACAAAATGTATAACTGTTTCATATTATTCATAAAAAATAACTTTGATATTATTCATAAACTCAAATAAATAAATAAATAAATAAATAAATAAATAAATAAATAAATAAATAAATAAATAAATAAAAAGTCGTGGAAGACGGGCGAGATTCGTGGACGTCATGCCGCGGTGCGGCGACCACGCACTTGGCATTTCACTCCACGTTCTTCCACGTTGCCCGTGCGCGTAGCAGTGCATCCCTTCCGGTGCCCTGGCTTCCCGGCGGAAGCGGCGCCGCGCCGCCCCTGCCCCTCCCCTCGCCCTCGCCCTCGCGCTGCGGTCGCCAAGTGCGCACGAGGCCACGCGATGCCACCGCAAGGCAGCCCTGCGCCATTGAGCGCCACTTGCCAATGCGCGACTGTTTGCGCCGCGTCTTTGCGCCGAGGGGAGCCCGTCCCGAGCGGCATCTTCTGCGGAGTGTCACAATACCAAGAAAAGACTTGCAGCCAATTGTCCTACGCTGCAGAAACGGGATGTAAGAGTATATAATTCAAAAGTTAAGAATTAAAGTATACTTCGTAAGTTCTAACTTTTGAGGGCTTAGTTAGAGCAGCCCCGATCACCATACTCTCTACCTATGCCACTGGCTCACTAATGTCATTGCGATGCACTGCTCTTGGAGATGCGATCTCACATACAGAACAGCCCGAAGCTCAGCAATATCTTTTAAGTACCGGAGTGTACCTCTTTTTTTTTCAAAAGAATTATTCCAGCATCACAACACTGTGTATTTGCGCGATCGTGTACAGTTGTTGCAATTCAGTTAATGACATACAAATGCATGATAACACATTTTTATAAAATATGCAGTTGCTTTGCATGACCTTCGTTTTGCAAATAATGCTACTGTTTTACATGACCTTCGTAAATTTATCTTCTTGAGAGTATGATTTAATTTCCAATTATTGTATCGTGTGTTATTTACACAATGGAAACGCTCTTGCCTATGAAAACTCCATTTACCCTCCTTTAGGTCCCTGTCTTACAATTTGTTCATTTACAAAAGCAAAGATTAGGGATCAAGAGAGACACAGAGAATGATAACCAGAGAGAGCGAAATTAAGCAAATATTTCAGCACAAGAAACTGTCCGAACATTCACGAATCGCCTCTTTAACACGGCCGTCACTGTGTACTCGCGCAGCGTTGCTGTCACTGTGCACTGATCTCGCCTTTCCCTTAGGCCGAAGGCAGGAACCAGACGGTGCAGGAGAACCGTGAGAACCACAACACGAGCGGAGTCATTTCCTTCCACGCGCACAACCTGCGCCCGGGCACGCGCTACCGCTTCAGCGGTGAGGTGCGCCCCGTGCCGCAGCCTTCGCCGACGTCCGCACCTCAGCCATTGGCACCGCCCTCGCCACAGCCTCTACTGCTGCCGAAGCGGAGCCCCCGCGTGGACAGAAACAGCCGTGGCCGCATAGTCGCCGACTCCCTCCCCCCGGACCCCGGCCTCGCTCCCGACGGCCCCGGTGCCTCTGGGGACGCCCAGGGCAACGCCTATGCCGACGCCGGCGCCAGCTGCGGCGCCGCCCACATGCAGGTGGCCCAGGAAATACGCACGTGCGCAGGTAGGCACAATTCATGCCAAGACACGGCAATAGCACTGCCAACACTAGTTGAAAAAATGGCATCTAAATGCCTCTTCTCTGGCAAAAACAATGAAAGTGTTCTTGTATACGTAGTATAGACAAAGTAAAACAATAAAATGCTGCAAAAACAAATGTCAATATTTTAAAGAAATGTAAATATAAATGTTCTGTCCCTTACACCGAAAAAGAATTTTCTTTGTTTTCAAAACGTCTACCAGTCCGCTTGTACACATTACACGCCTTAAAAGCTGACTTTCTTTGCTCCTAGTAAAAATGCAAAAGATATGATTTTATTATAAATATTAAAGGTGCATAATTCGCCATATATTCTGTATCATTTAACACATCCTTTATACGCAGTTAGAGAAAGCCTCAGTCCCGTGTAGTAACGCTCCAACGTGTCTGGGTGCGCAGGCGCGGCGCCGCGGCCCAACTGGGCGACGCTGCGGGTGGACGCCAACGGCACGTCCGTGTGCTGGGCGCCGGCCGCCGCCGCCGCCGCGCGCTGCCCGGGCGCGCGCCTCCGGTACGTGCTGCTGCTGCGGCCCGCGCGCTCCGCCCACACGCACTCCTCGGCCGCCGTGGCGCGCGGCAGCGTCGTCGACCACTGCGACGCCCTCGCCGACAGCTGCTGCGACGCGCTACCGCCGCCCCTTCTCGGCCACGACGTGAGTGCTCCGCCCGCGCGGCTACTTTCCCACAAAGCCCGCACATTAGAGATACTAAGGCTCTAGATCTGGGCTGCCCGGGTGACGCCGCGTCGAAGGTTGAGCTGAGGATGTTTCGACCATATCGTGGTCTTGTTCAGGGCTGTACTGCACTTCATAAGGAATCTTTCCAAAGTAGGACTAGTAGGACTCTTCCTAAAGTAAAGAACGCATTACATCATTGTACACATTGTAGCAATACCCCCCCCCCCATTTAAGCTCCTCCTGAGTGAACTCAGGGCAAAAACTCCTGCTACTCAAGTGACTCCGTCCGGGAGGTCCTACGGTTCGAATCCGACGGGGGCGGGCGGTTTCGATATTAATAGCTAAACATACACTCAATATTCATCAGTACGTAATGTTAACTCTCAACATGAAGCATGAGACGTCACTAACTATTAAGTGATCGTATTCAGCCGCTCACTCGAGGGGAATTGTAGCAGCTGGCAACCGTGGCCCGTAGTTTCCACGGTTCCTCCGATCTATATCCAGCATATGCTCGAGCAGAACCTTGAAACGCCACACACCGCGCGCGATCTTTCCTCGACGATTCTTCTCTCCTCCTCCCTGCTCACACACGCGCGCACACACACACACACACACACATGTACACTCTCATGTACTGTACTACCACTCGTGTAGGATGTCGAGTCAGAACCTTAGAGTTGTCCCGGCTGGAAAGATGCCCTGCTGACCCGAATACCTACAACTGGGAAATACCCGAAAGCCGACAGAAAGTCAAAACTTGATCTCATGGTCTACCGTATGTGAGAACACCGCCACCTCCCGCAATTTATGTGTACCGAACTTACCGGATTAATGATCAAAGTAGTTAATACTCCCGAAAATATAAATAATCAATAATTGCATTAAGATAAGGCAATAAATTATCACTCAAATTATTATTCTAAATTAGTGGTAATGGTATATTATTTATATTATTATTCATCGATGAGCAAATAAAAATGTTATTACGAATGACGAGCAATTTCAATATGGTCGCTCATATCTTCCACACAGCATCGTCAGCAAATTTGAAAGATTTGTATACATTCACCTTCCTGTGATTCGTAATTATGTTCCGTCAGGTCGCGCCAAAAAGGAATTAAAATATGATCCTTCTTGATAAAGCTATTTTTTATGAAACGGTTAATATTCATGAAACCATAACGTCACTGGGCCATAGCGTTGTAAAGAGAGAATGGAATGTTCACCGAACAGAATGTGAACATAATTCTTATTTCGAAGATTATTAATCCATTTTTGGAACCTTATCACTCAAGTAGAGTCTCTTTCAGCTTCCACTGTCTAGGGTAAAATGAAATCATTACGGAGGATTCTTAATCCAAATATAACGAGGTATGTAGTTTTTTCGAATCATAAATAAGATTCCTTAGATGACATTCAATAATAATAGCCATAATAATAAAAATTATTATATCTTCACTAATAGCGAGGCGCAGGTTATAAGGCTGATCTTATAGAAAACATTTTTCGTTTATACGAGTATTTTACCACCGATAGCTGAATTGCACACCTTGCGGCCTATTAGAAAAAGCGGATTCGCGGCAGGTTTCCCAGGGGTTCTTCCGTAAAAATTTCCATTTTTTTAACTCATCTTAATTAATAGCATCTTTTTCCAAAGAATCCACCGCTGATTTGGATTCCCCATTGTCGCACACAGAATATCCACTGTATGAGAACTTCAATCTCCTCGCTTCCCTTGGCTGAACATGACTCCTTTAACGCGCGTGCAGTGTGTGAATCTTAATTCTTGGAGTGCCAACAACAAACGTAATTTGTGCCGAAAGCGTGGTACATCTCAGAGAGAAGCGGACTTTCTCGTTATCTAGCACGAGGCAGGGCACTTTGCAGGACTCTTCGTCCTGTAGCTATCTCCCCGAGAACATCACCCCAGAGCAGAGTACTAATGTGTGTATGTATGCAACGATATAGGATGAACCGAGAATGAGAAGGAAAAAATCGCGAGTGGTCCGTGAATTGTTTTGTGGGGTAGTGTACCCACATTTCCCAGGAGTTGTTTGGAGAAACCGCGCAACACTACGGATCAGATCATCCGGCCGCTAGAACTCTCAAGACAGCGTCAGAATTTGACGTAGCTCTCTGACTAGTCTCGAAACAACGCCCTCGCCGGGAGTCGAATCCTAGAACTCACCGGTCAATAACCGGAAGAGGTGCCTCAAGGCATCAACTGATATCACTGGTGTGCCTCTGACCAGAGGGTCTTAGGGTGGCAGGAGTTTCGACACCAGTTAGATAGCTAGGCTGAATTCACTCCATAATTGGAGAATTGTAGCGGCCGGTTGCTCTGATCGGATACTTTTTCGTGGTTTCCTCTAACAATACCAGAGAAATGCCGGAGCAGTACCCTTACTTCACGCATCTTTCTTTCCCCTTCCTTGACCTATCCTCACCCCTTACACACACTTAAATACACAACACTGCCACACGCGCGAGGAGTTTGGTCGGGGTCTAGGGGATTGTTCCGACTAGGGTGATACCTGGATGGGAAGTTATCCATTAGCCGAGGGGCAAGTCAGCGCCGGATTTCACTCTCCATCGGGAGAGAATCAACGCCACCTCCCGAGGGAAAAACGTTCTTTAGGCTTACGGGAGCAATGACCTCAGCTGTTGACGAGCCCGGCAGCGGCGTTCCCTCTTCCCTCTCGCAGTTGAGCGAGAGAGTTGACGTGTGCGCAGCTGGAGGCGCAGCTGGTGACGCTGTGGTGGGACGCCGAGGTGGCCGTGCACCAGGAGCGCGCGGGCGCGTCGGGCGAGGACGCCTGGCGGCGGGTGAAGCGCGCGCAGACGCCCGCCGGCCACTCCCTGGGCCTCTGGATGCTCGCCGTGCCCGTCGTCGTGCTGGGCGTGCCCTGCAACATCCTCATGCTGCGCAGGCGCTGGTGAGTGGCCGTTTTGCTCACGTTTGCGCCGCCTTCTTGTGCGACTTTGGCCACAAGATGACCCACGATTTGTTTTCAAAAAGAAGATATCTTCGTTAGTCTCATTTACGCCGTCACTGTCACTTAAAGGCTGAACGCAGAATGTTTTCCATTTCCTTTTTTCAATTGCAACAATGCTGTAAGAATGGTTATTGCTGTTATAGCTATGCTGTTTAGATATTTGTGGAGACAAAATACCGCTTTTTCATCAGCAATTTCATTTCACTAACTCTCAAGAAGGTCTAATAGGTCGTGCGGACCATGGTGTTTTTAGAGAAAGTTCTTCATAATGAGCATCGATTTCGCAGATGTTTTGTCAAAGTGAATCAACTAATCTCTGGTTTTCTATATCTTAGACCTTTAACGCCTTACATTTTCTCCCAGGCATCTCACTTGTCGCAATATTTTGTCCATGAGACAATCAGGCCTAATTAATTATTTCTGAACAATTCAATTAATGCCAAAAATCGGCATTATAGGCAGCATAGATTTGTTAATGTGATATTGGCAAAGTGTTTGAAATATATTTCGATACCGGAAAGATGACATCTTTCAATTCTGAACACTTGCTTTGTTTCCATAACATAAACATGCACCCAATATTCATCAGTACGTGTGGTTAACTCTCAGCATAAAGCACGAGACATCACGAACTTTTAAGCAATGCGTAATTCTCGCGGTAAAAATCTCAAACTGTCGCTGTAGCTCCGTGCAAACAAATTCGTAGACCATCGTTCATAAGACGTTAAAAAGTTCAGACCAAAAACAAAAAGAAAAGGTGTTCAGAAAGCTGCAATAAAAACCTTTACATTCACACATATGTCAATTGACAGGCTAAGAACTGAAATATATACGAACACATAATTACCCTTGGATGTTCGTCCTGCTAGTGGGTTGACCGGCACATCAACTTTATGCAAAACTCGGCATTTCATACACGAGGAATAAAAAAGTAAGTAGCGAGGCCAAGCGGTCAAGAGTTTAAAATTGCAACCTTCACAAGTAAAGTAAAATAGTTTAAGAAAATAACTTTAATCAAAATTTAGAATAATTCCTTGGATTCATTAGGTCGATAATTTTTTTCAACACATCGCCGATTTAAACAATAGCAAAATGTATAAATCAAATTTTCCGAGGTAAAGCAAGCACGATTTGTATTTTGAAATACTCAAAAACTTTAAAGTAAATCTAGTTGCACCACAAAATCGCATAGACTTTCCCGCACTAATTCGATTTATAATATCTTTAGTCTAGGTTACCTTTACGATATTTCCCCTCCCGCTTCCCAAACTGCTACCAATCGGCACCTAAAAACATTTTAAAATCCTCTGATCGGGAGGTTCTAGGCTTCGACTTATGTTTGTACCAGCGTTTTCGACACTACGGAGCACCTGAAAGATAATAATTATGGTCGGCATTTAACTCCAGAAAATAATAATTCATTACAATTGTTTCGGACCTGTAATCTTAACATTAAATTTTAATGGAGATAAAGACATTCTTATTTTATTACTTCTTTATTCATTGTAGTTTAGAGGCTCATCAACAACTAGGGCATTGAGGCCCATCAATATGTTAGTGAGTAGCTGAATGATGGAGAAATGGTGGAATGATAGGAAAGGGAAGCGAGAAAATATGGAGAAAACCTACCGAGAGGTATATTCTTTCAATACAAGTTCCAAATGTTTAGGCCGGCGATTGAATCTGGGCCCAAGTGGTGTGAGGCCTACTCGCCATAATGCCATCAGCGCACCGCGCGCCCTAAATCACGCACGCACTGAAGCACACACACACGCAGATTATTTATAGCGACGATTTAACTCCCATTGTTTTGAGATAATTTTCCCCAAACATGCTCTTCTTGTTCGATTGTTCACAAATTTGACAATGTCCAACGTCAGCGGTATTAAGATTGCTGCAAATGTGTTTAGGGTCTTTAAAGATTAATTTTCACTCACGTGGATTTTTTCATGAAACAAAAATGTTGAGAAGTCCCACAACCAATCCATTATTGTAAAGAGATATTAATATGTGCATATCGTATCATGCTGCAATCTCTCTGAACGATTTCAAGGAATTCTAATTTTCTATTAAATTTGGCTATTCGCCCTGAGAAAGATAGTATTGGTACTTACTAGTGAATAGTTAACAGGGGCCATGGGTTAGTTTTAATATATCCTACATTACAAAACTGATTATAGTTGTTAATAGTGTTGATTATAGTTAATGTTTGGTACGACTCTGCTCAGTGTTACGACACTGATCTCTGTTTGAAATAGTTTGAATTTCGATAAGGAAAGTGGATAAAAGTATTTTACTCCCTCCAGCTTTTAAGATGTGACATAACCAACGAGCTAGAATATACTATTTAGAGTGGTTGTCCCTATAGTTTCAGCGCTCTTGGTGAAGGATCGCCGAACTGGTGGCCACTATGTTTTTTGAAGTCAAAACATAGCAATGTAACATGGGTGTAACCATCCGTAACCAGTGCCAAACGTAATGCTAGAATACTTTCTTTCCCAGAGGGCGCTGCTTTGACTGCAAAACACATGGCTTCAATTTGCTTCAAAGGTGGAGGCGCCTCAGCCACTCTATGAAGTATATTCTTGGCCGTTGGGCGTAAGGGAAGCGTGACCGACGAGAGCGCGTCCTCTGCCCCCAGGAAGC